AGATTCTAAACAGTTGCAACAACAATGGCTTACTTTAAGATCTTCTGGTTTAAATTGTGATACATCCAGTTGTGCATAAAATGAATCTTCACTTGAATGCTGCGAAGTCACAAATCCCGAACCACTGCCAAGTGGTGTTGTTAACGATGGAGGCTAAAATTGCTGATAAACAAAAAAGCAGACAAAAATACAACAACTATTTAAATTAAACAGCAGTCATGAAGGTTCCACTAAGTCAAGGTTTGTGAGAAAAAATGCATTTTTTTTTCAAAAAAAACGGATTACCTGCATCGATGCAAGATGAAGTGGAGAACCAATCCGTAGCGGTGATTCTATTCGTGTGGTAGGAGTTTCTTCAATGATCCGTTTCTCATAGGTACGATTATAGGATGAAGTACGATTGTAGGAAGTTGCCATCTCGTCCAGCGAGCTACAAATAAACTGATTTAGTCTGCAACAGTTTCCATGCATACATCTGTTTTGCTCCACCATGCTTTAATAATTGCTAAACCGACAATCACGATATCAAATAAGGCCAATAAAAATTGCTCTCAAAACTGTAGAAATTAAAAGACAAAAAAAAAAAACTGGCCAAAAAAGCTAGAAGATAAAGCCAATAAACAAAAAAAAAAAAGAAAAAACAGAAAGAAAAACTGAAGAAAAAAAAAAGATCAAAAACAGAAATACAATTACTGAACAGCTAAATGGGCCAATAAATTAGAATTTGTTAAGATATTGAATTGTTTGACGTTCAGAAAAAAAAAAAAAAGAATGCTTTAGTTGCAAAGTTTCAATAACGTTTTTCTTTTCTTAAAAAAGCAAGAAAAAAGTATCAAAGAAAAAAAAAAAGAAGAACCAAAAGTAAAAACCGATCAGTTAGAATAGATAAAAGAATAAGGAAAAAAACCACTACAAGAAAAATTAGTAATCAAAATATGTAAAGGTGAGTGTTTTTTCTCAGAAGCAAAAATTTATTACTTTCATTAGCAATTCAAAATAGGGAATTTTTCAATTGCAGTTTCTACTTTTTTTTTTTCTGCTTTTTCCTATCTGACGGTACTTTGAAGAACTGTAGTCGGTATTTTTCTGATGGTGATATACAGATTTTTTTTTTCTTTTTCCACTTTCTTAATAAGCTTCTGTTTTTTTTTTCAAACAAAAACAACGGTTTAACAAAGTGATATTGAACTTCAAACAAAAAAAAAAAAACTGATGAACGAAATAACAACAGAAGAAAATGCAAAAAAAAAAAGGAACAACTGAACGGAAGGGAAAAGAAGTGGGAAGAGTATGGCAGCAAAGAGGAAATAATGCAAAAAAAAAAACTAAACTATCTTCGGACTTATAAATTACAACAAATATCGCTTAGGCTAAAAGAAAGCCGAGCAGGGATAAATGTTGAAAGTTAAAGCATACATTCAGTTGCACCAATGTTTTGCCTACTGCTGTTGCCGTTGTTTCTTAAGCAAGAAATCTTTTTCAGCAAAAATTGTTGTTGCTGCTGCTGCTGCTATTACCCGCTGTTGATTTTGCTAAGCTATTCTACGTGGATTATTAAACAATGTTGAATATCAAATTTAGGTTAGAAAACAAAAAAAAAATTTTAAGAGGGGAAAAAAGTAAATAAAAGTAAATTTAGAAAAAAAAAAAAAA